AACCAGGCTGGCCTCAAACTCACAGAGATCCACCTGCCTCTGCCTCCCGAGTGCTGGGATTAAAGGCGTGTGCCACCAATTCCCCGGCGATTTGCATTTCTTTAATGGCTAATATGAGCATGTTTTCATGTGTTCATTGGCCATCTGTATGTTGCCTTTGCAGAAAAGCTTATTTCAGTTTCCAGTTTGGTTTTCAATTGGGTTATCTTTCCATTTTCCCATAAGATTTTTTTAAAAAATTATTGTAGATACAAGTTCCTTAAAGATAGTTGTCGTTTTTTTTTTTTTTTTTTTTTTTTTTTTTTTTTTTTTTTTTTCCCCAACCCATGGTTTTTCCTTTTCAATCTCTTGCTATCTTTGAAGCACACTATTTTTATGTGTTGCCTTTATGTGTTTTAGAGACTGAGTCTTAGCCCAGGCTGTCCTGGAACTCACAATGAAGCCTTGAATTGGAGCAAGCAGTTTAACTGCTTCACTTCCCAAAATGCTGAGTTTACAGGTACAAGCCACCATGCTTGACTTAACAGTTTTTTGTTTTGTTTTGGTTTGGTTTCGGTTTTTCCGAGACAGGGTTTCTCTGTATTGTTTTGGCACCTGTCCTGGAACTCGCTCTGTAGACCAGGCCTTGAACTCACAGAGATCTGCCTTTGCCTCTGAGTGCTGGGATTAAAGGCATGCACCACCAACACCTGCAGGAACCATTTTAATTTGGGTAAATTACAATGTTTCTTTTTTCTTCCAGTGTGCTGTAAGAAACCATACCAGTTCAAACTTACAGAAACTTACTCCTATGTCTTCATTGAAGAGTTTTATAATTTTATCTCCCATCCATAGGCTTGGGCTTGCTTTCAAAATAATTTTATATATCTTATTTGTAGCCATATTTCAAGTTATTAGTTAAATATAAATAACAGAACTTAGCATCTTAAAGTGTATAGGTCAGTAGTGTTGAGTGCATTCACACTGTAGTGCAGTCAGTCTTCAGTAGAATTCTTCACTCACCTCACAAAATGTAAAGAGTGTCATGTCATCCCTCCCTACCTTACCCTTGGCATGCTCTCTCTATAATAATGACCATTCTATTTCCTGTGTCTGAATTTGAGTACCCTAAGTGCCTGGTATGAATACAAACTTAGCATATGTTTTTTTTTTTGTTTGTTTGTTTGTTTTTTTTCAGGGATGGGATGGGGATTGGCTTATTTAGGTAGCAAAATACCCTCAAGGTTCGTTCAGTCATTGTGTATCATGTATTTCCTTCCTTTGTATGTGTCCCTTATCTTGTTACCTACTTAATCAGAAGTGGATACCTCGGTTGTTTCCACTTTTGAGCTCCTGACTATTGCTGTGAACATGTATATAAAAGTATCACTAGGACTAGGAATCATTAGGACTAGGACCCCACTTTCAGTTTTAGCATTTACCCAGCAGTCTGTGTTGTAGGGCAGTTCTATTTTTATTTTGAGGCACTGCCATACTTTTTTGTAGCAGCCATGCTATTTTATATTCTTGTCAGCAGTCCATGAGGATTATTATAACTGTCCGATAGCCTTGTCATTTATTTCCTATTCTTTTTTAGTGGCCATTCTAATGGGTGTGAATGTAGCTATACCAATGGTTCTGTTTGGCATTTCCCTGATTAGTGATGCCACATGTTTTATATGCTTGTTGGCCTTTATATAGTGCTTGAAGAAATTGTTTTAGGTCCTTTGCTCATTAATAGTAGTTGACTCTGGTTGAGTTTTTGGTAGTCATATCCACAAAAGTATTATCCCACCCAGTGGAGCTAATTATAGCTTGCCTTGGGGAATTTTAGTTTTAGCTCTTAGCTTTGCTCTTTGGTCCATTTTGAGTTAATCTTTGTGTGTGATGTAAGTTAAGGGTTTGACTTCCCATTCTCCTCATGTAGATATCTAGTTTTCCACATTGCCCTTTGGTGGGAAACATTCCACCATGCAGGGTACGGCTGTTTCTAAGCCTGAGTCTCTTTTTTGGCTTTTGTATGTCTTCATGCCAATGACACCATTTTAATTACTGGAACATAATAAAATTTGAAATCAGAAAATGAGTCCATCTTTGTTCTTTCTTAAGATTATTATTTTGGGTATGTGGAATCCTTGAGCGTCTGTATTGCAGGATGGATTTTTTTGTTCTTTCTTTCAAAAGAATAAAGTGCTATTGGCATTTGAGTTAGGAATGCATTTAACCTCCTGAGCATCTGAATGCACTGATAACTAAACATGAGTAACTTCTCCAGTCCACAAGATACTTTTTCATTTACTGGCATCTAATCACAGCAGAAATTTGAAGTTTTCAGTGTATTAGATTTTCTCCTTTTTGTTTATTTCTAAGCATTTTGTTCTTTGATGCTAGATTTTGTCAGATTTCTTAACATGTGTTGAGGTGTGTGTGCATGCAGTAACACACATGTGGAGGTCAGAAGACAAACTGGAAGTCAGGTCTCCTTTTGCCCCGTGGGTCCCTGAGGAGAACCCAGGTCTTTGTGCTTGATGACAAGCACATACACCCACTGAGCCATCTCCTTGGACCGGTTTTCTAAATTCCCTTTTTCAGATTTTTCACTGAGGGTTGGACTTTAAATAATTTTCATTATTAAATATAACCAGTACAGAGAATTTATTGTCATCAAATGACTATAAAGTCATCATGTACCCATCATCCTGACCCTCCTCATGTTTATCTGATACTGTGGTGTTTAGTTTTATGTCAACTCGACAAGCTGGAATCATCTGAAAGGAGGGAAACTCGATTGAGAAAATGCTTCCATAAGATCCAGCTGTAGGGCATTTTCTTAAATAGTAATCAGTGGGGGAGAGCCCAGCCCACTGCAGGCGGTGCCATCCCTGGCTCTGTAAGAAAGCAGGATGAGGAAGGCAGGGGAGGCAAGCCAGTACACAGCACTCCTCTGTAACATCTGCGTCAGCTCCTGTCCCCAGGTTCCTGCCCTGGCTTCCTTCAGTGATGGACAATGTAGAAGTGTAAGTGAAATAAACTCTCTCCACCTCAACCTGCTTTTTGGTCATGGTGTTTCATCACAGCAATATACATTCTAACTAAGACAGACACCCTCTCTCACTTGCCCCCAAGAAAAACTCACTGTGCTCTTGTTGCCACATTGTGCTCCCAGGTTTGTCCTCTCCTTTGAGCTGGTGAATTTGGTCTCTTCCATTGCATCTAGAATATCTAACTGATGATTACAAGGAAAGAAAGGTAACAGTGCAGACATAGGAAAATTCAATTAAACACTACAAATATGCCATTTATTCATTTTCTGTGTGTGTTTTCACGAGTAAGTGCATGTGTACATGCAGAGACCAGAGCAAGTATCCTTTTACCATGTGGATTCCAGGGATCAAACTCAGAGTGCCAGGCTTCATGTCAAGTGCTTTTATTGTTGAGCCATCCTGCTGGCCCCTCATCTTTTAAACTTCTGAGTAGCTCCTTTATTGCAAGAATTACACTTGCCCTTACAAATGCAAAGGTAAATGGCAAGACTGACCAAATACACATGATATCGTCTTTAAAAGAATGTAAACATACCCTTTATTAAAATGAATAATATATCCACATATTTAATACATTAGAAAAATAATAAATTATCTACTATTAAAAAATTAAATGATGAAAATATTAAAGGACTTTTTTTTCTGAAGTGATGTCACCATACAGGGCTTTGAATGAAGAAGAAAGAGTGTGAGGAGTTTTTCCAGATCACAGTGACCAGGGTGTGTGGATGGAAAGTTAATGGACAAATGGAAGAACAGACCTTAGTGACTTGACGGGATGTTCTGACGGTTGCACTTAGCTGCCAGGTTAACCTGACTGAGATGCTCTTAGGGATTAGTAAAGCACCGCTTCTGAGTGTGTAGGAAGACCACTTTGGAGACGACTGACACAGGAGAGGAACTGCAAAAACAGGCCAGGAATGTGGGCAGCACATCCAGGAGGCTGGGGCCCCAGATGGAACAGAAGTAGAGAAAATGAGCCAGGCAGTGCTGCAGGCTCTAAGAAGTCTCTGTTGCTGCTGCCGCTGCCGCTGCCAGTGGAGGTCAGACTCAGGTACTTCAGCTGTTCAGCACGGACTCAGACCAGTGAGCTTCCAGGTCGTCAGCCTCAGACTGTATCGCAGGTTCTCTTGCTTTGAGGCTTCTGGCTTCTTTTCCTCTTCTGCTACCAGGTTCTCAGCCTCTCCAGCATGCAGGCAGCCACAGCTTCCAGTAGTATAAGCAAATAGAGGAGGACATCTGACACAAACCCCTGGCCTCCATACCCACTCACATGACACATGTGGGCACACACCCATAGAACATGCCTATACACATACATACATACATACATACATACATACACACACACACACACACACACACAAACATACAAAAAAAATGAAATGCTAAAAACACTGCAAATAAAACAGGAAGACATTGAATAACAACAACAAAACACCCTGGAGCAGGAGAGGGAAGGCAGAAAGCACCAACAGTCTTAAACAACACACTGTATGCCAAGAAGGAGCTACTGCACACCAGAGCCCAGCCTTCCAACAGAGAGACACTGACATGGTCACAAGGACATGGTCATCCTCGGTGGAAAAGCCCAAACTTTTCAGAACAAACATCAAAGGGAGCAAGAACTTTGAATTACATCAACATTTAAGACTTCTGTAGCCCTAACGTAGATGATGCCAAAACCCAGCTAACCAACAGCTTTAAAAACCTCAACCTATGATAGAGGAGTTAATAGAATGTTTGTTAAAAACTTCACAGAATTGCATGTATCAGTAGAGCAGACTTGATATTTGCAGACTCAAAGAAATAGAAATGGGAGCAAGCCTCCATTCCTGAGTCTGTGAGAAAAGAGTGGGAAAGCATTGGCTACAGCAATGGTAGATTCTCAGACAAACACGTTTATGTTGTGTTTAACCTTTCCATTGCCAGGAATCTCTGAGGGAAATTACTGGACACGTGTTCCTTGAAAGAGATGCAGAGGTCAAAACAACACAAGCTGCTGATAACACAGCAGCTTAACAGAATGCTTCTTAGCAAGTCACACCACAGTGGTGCCCACAGATGGGGAGAGCATGGTTGTTCAGGGAAAGGAAAGAACACACATTTATGAACACATCAGACCAAGATCCTCACAGCCACTATCTGTTGTCCACAGTTGGCACATGCAAAAACAGCCTTGTCCCAAGTCACTGACCAGTGAGAGACAGAACTTGGATTGGGGTCTGGGACTGTCTGCTATGCCCCTATTCTTAACCATACACCCTATTTAAAATTAACTAAAAACACGCTAAAAAGACCTTAGTCTCCCCCATTTACAAGTGTATGAACCCAGGTACCTAAGCCTATTGGCATAATGTGCCAGTCTGGTGCTAGCTGTAGACTTCCAGTGTAGGAGAATGAGTCAAGGGAGACCAAGTTTAATGTTCTTGTCAGTTTTTATTGTTTATCATTCTAAAGACAAGCACATTTACAGCATACATGGCTTTAAATGAGCTAAGAATATATAAAACAGTAACTATATGTTCATATATATTAATACTGTCCCAAACAAATAAATAAAAGTATTTAAATGCACTAAGCTTGGCAAATACAAGTGAGGGGGATAAAACAGTATTATACAATATTTTTACATCTTCAAAGGAAAGTAAAGGCAGCTGCGCTGCAGGAGCTCTGACAGAATCCACATGGCATTCCCAGCTGTCCAGACGCCACACATTCCTTTTTAAGTGGGGGCAGACCGTGGATGGAACATCTACTTTGTGGAAACCAGTAAAACCATTTTCCCACCTGCAGTGAACAACTCAGCCTCCCTGGGCAGCCAGGAATTGCCTGTGCCCATGCTGTGCAAGGTGCCCCTTCCTGGCAAGCCTGGGACGTGTGATTCGCTGGAAGCCAGTCACAATGCCTTCAGAGAAAACACTGAAGCCACATCTTTTCCGTGATTAACCAATTCTTAGAGTTTTACAGTGATTCATATTATAAAAAAGAATTGAGAAAATGATTCACATGCAAACCTGCTGACAGGTGAGCCAGTTCTGCTCTATTCCCTTGTGAGTGTGGACAGGTAATGTCCTTTGGACAGAAAGGAAAGCTGGAGAACATGGCAAACATTTAACTTTAAAGTCCAAAGAAATATTTAAAAAGGCAGTGATGTCAAAGTAAGAAAAAAATGAAACTAAAAACTTAAAAGTTAATGGACCAAGGAAGAGGTAAAGGGCTTAGCCAGCCACACTAAGCCTCAGGGGCCTTTGATCAGGGACTGAGGCTTCGGGAGAATCTGATACCAGCAGAGCAGTCCCCTGTGTGGAAGGTTGGGTGGTAAGAGCTTCCCTGCCACTCACCTTCCATGTGCCATGCCCTGAGAGCGGAGCAGTGAGCCACCCATCAGCAGAGTGCATCTCCCTCTCAGCAGGCACCAGGTTATAGGGGGCTGTCTGCACACTGGTAGAAAGGGATGCCTGCACCCTCCCTGACTCTTGTTGAAGGACTGGTCCTGTCTATGCCTCAGTGTCCCAGGTCCAAGTTTGTTACATGTTTCTATAGGAGCCAAAAGAAAACTAGCTAGACATATACAAGAATTCCCATGGTGTTCACAAGTCATTAGTATGCATCATGGATATACTCCATATACACTTCTTTTTACAGCCATTTAAATAACATGTAAACAGAATTATGATAAACAGAATTTATAAAACATATAAATTCTAAGGAAAAAAATCTGCTATGTGCAGATAAGACTCATCATCACCTTGTAAAAGATGACCAGACTAAATTGTCTATGAAATACATAACTTCCCTGTCTCACAAAGCCCTCTCAGGCTCTCAATGTAGGGGATAGTTTTAACTGTTTCTTAATAGTTGTCCAACAATAACAATTATTGCAAACCAAAAACTAAAATGGTTTCTTTAGACATTCAAATGTGATTTATGGTCTTCTGGAAGATTATTAGAAAGCTCCTAGAAGAACATTTATTCTGAAAATATTTAAGTGTCTACTGTCTCTATGGCCCTAAATCCCAGACACCTGACAAGCCACAATGAAAGTCCCAATTGCCAGAGAAGGAAGGGAGCTATGCCCTGTGGGTGTGGACCTAAACATGGAGCTAATGAGGAGGCAGAGTTCGGGGACCTCACAGCTGGTTTAGGTCTCAAGCAGACACACTTCTATGACTGAAGGATGCAGGGACTCCTGGATCAAACTGTCCTTCCACTTCGGGTTTCAGAGAGTGGTGGCCTTTGAGGGCCACTACAACCAGCTTCTCTCACAGCACGAAGGTGCTAACACCTGCTACTCTGCCTGGGACCTGAAGTTTAATGGGGGAGGTACCTCCTGTTTTACATTCAGACTTTTTGAAAGTAGATTTTAAGTCAATGCTCACCTGTGAGTTACTGAATAGAAAAATAAGTTGGGTGAGCAGTGCCTACGTAGGTATTTGAAAAAGTCTCCTGGAGTTTTAGACAAACCAAGCTGGCTTCTTCTAGAAACTATGTTAACTATATAGTTACAGCTGGAAGCTATTGTTAGGGCAGCCATTACTATCCACACTATTGAGCCACACATGACCCCCTACAGATTCCAACACAAAATCATGCTCCATAGACTCTTTAGTGAAGTATTTTTAAAAACACAAAAATAAAAAACGAATCCTTCAGGTCTTCTTGAAGAATCATATGTGACACTAGAGGGTACCCACATTGATTACATAACAGCTAATTAGAGGAAACCGTGTGTTCATGTCTCAACTTTTCCGTAAGTCCCTTCTGGAGGCCTGTAATGCTTGGGGAAGGCCTTCAGCTGCAGGGAGTTAAATGCATATTTGCGACTTCCAACATTCTTCATTGTATTTTCTCTTCGACAACCCTCACTGGGGAAAAAAACAAGCACAAGAAATGACAGCAGTAAAAAAGGAAAAAAGAAAAGACTTAAACTTAGATGAAATGAACTGATTATTTTCATAGCATTAAAAAAAGATTAATTAAAATGGGTGCTGGACTTGTTTACAACAGATGCACACATAAGATGGTGGATTCTGAACAAAGCAGGGAGAAGCACAGAGATGGACACATGCTGAATGCGGCCGTGGGCTGGCAGTTCTAGAGCCACATTGTTGTATCTAAGCAGACACAATTATTGTAAAAACACATGATTTTGTGTGTATCTTAGGTTTGGTTATCTTGGGTTCTATCATAACTTGTGGTTCAGAGATTTTTTTTTTTTTTACAGCAAACTGAATGAATGGTGATATTTTACTGTTACCATGGCTTCTAAAACATTGTACCTTTTGTATGCTAGCAAAATCTGAGATCACATCAAACCCCAAATATTGAGTTTTCCTTGGAGAATTCAACGGGTAGCAAAAAACATCTGGCAGAGGAGGCTGCTCTGATAACTGTCTCCACCTAGGGGCAGCTGTTCACATGCAAAGTGTTCATAGAGGCCCAGTTGCTGTCTGCAGAACAGGTCTTCATGGCCATCAGGCTGCCATGCTGTGAAGCTCCACTGATCTCCTGGAGGTCACTACCCACCTTCTCCAAGTGGGCGCTGTCATTACGGCCACTTCTTGTACAAGCACCACTGAGCCCAAAGGGAGCCCACAGGTGCTCTTCCCTTAGAGAACTCACTACTAGCTTGAATCCCGGCTGCACTCCATGGAGGGTTGTCATAGCAACCCAGGGGCAAAACAAATGGTGCCCAGCAAGAGGTTGAAGAGTGAACCTCAAGGGAATTCTCTGGGCACTGCTCTGGAGTGGCATAAAATTAACAGCCAAAAATGATTCTTAATATAAATTCCTTTCCACAACACAGTAAAACTTGCTATTTTACAATGTTTAAAGAGTAGCAATGAAATCAAGTAGTTGTCAAGTTCAGTAAAAAATCCCCCTTCTGAGATGTAAAATTTGTAGTTACCAAGAAAACAGTGATTTTAAAAAAGTATTTCAAATTCTATGAAGACCACATGACATACATTTAAAAAAAATAGCAGCTCAAGCCTTTCAAAATGAACATGACAGTCCCCTTATTAAGAACATGTCAAATAGGTTTTGGTGAGACAGTAATGTTTATTCAAGATAAACCCTGGTGGCTTAGAGAAGCATCTGCCTGCTTGCTGTTGACTAACAAACACAGCCACTAGTGTATGTCCTTGTTCCAGAGCCTCAAGCCTTAGGCTGGATGTGTCACCTGAGCTAAAGCTCTGGGCCACCCAGAGCAAATGATAGCATCTGCTGAACATTCAGTAATCAGATAAAAATACAAGTCTATTTAAAGCAGAAGCTGTAGCTTCCTGTGCAGAGTGAACCTCCTGGGGTCTTGGAAGCTCCTTTACTGACAGACTACTTCACATATGGCTTCTCTATTATTACAGAAGGTCCTCAAACCTATCTATCCAGTAAATGCAAAATGATACCTTAAAAACTCTGACAGTCTCTGTATTTACCTGTGAAAGGCACTAATACTAGGTTTAGCTGACTGCATACATTGTAGATGAACTTACAATTCAAATTATGCCTTTAATTTGGTTTTTAAGTCAAACTATTTCTTCCACATGTTTATATCAGGCTGATATGCCCTGTCTGCATGTTGCCACTATTGGCATGATCTGCAGCTGTCTGAGCTGGCTTGAAGGCCTGAGAAAAGGTCTGCAGGGGTGGTTAAGGGTGTCCGGTTGCAGAGTCTAGCATGGTAACCTGAAGCAGAACACTTTTACTGACCACACTGCTACAGTGTCTTTAGGAGGCAATAGTACATGACAAGGTTTGGGGCAGACTTTAACAAGAGAGATTGTACAGCTCCTGATTCTTCTTTATCATCTCAAGAATTACTTCATTTCAAGGATGTCAACTTTGGAAATCTGAATGGAAACTAAAAGGGCAATCCTAGAACCTCTGCTTTTTCTTTGGGGGCTTCCACTTTAGAGTTCATCTAAAGGTCCCCATGTCTAGGCCATGCCACAACAGACATGGGGAGTGACTGTGTCTGAAGGAGTACAGGAAGAAGCAGTGGCAGTCAGCCTAGCTCAAAGAACATGCACAGCCATTTTCTACAGCACTTAACAAGAACTCCTGAGTATGGCTCCTTCAAAACCTGCTGCTGCAGAGGGTGCAGCCCTAACCAGTCTCTGTGCCACAGCTAAGGATTACTCAGAAGCAACCCAGATGCCATCACCCAACACTAACAGTGGCCAACTTGACTTATCTCTTACCCTGTTTCTCCTCATTTCTTGCTGTAGACAAGATTTTGAATAAATATTTGGCTTGATAAGCACACTGAAGGTTGGTCTCCCCACCTCCCCAATATGTTAGAGGAAAAAAAGCAAATACAAATCTCAAATCCCCCCTGCTGAGTCAGCCTTTTGTGCCTGGAGGTGGTGTACTGCATTCCACTCACCCCTGGAAGAGAGAAACAAAGAACTTCACTGCTGGCCTTCCTGACCCAACAGCCAAGGCTATCTAAGACAGGAGGGAAGCTGGTACCACCATAGTGTCCCAACAGGAATCCTCCCTGCCTGGGGTGCGGGTGGGAAACCAGTCACTGTTTCCCTTTGTTGTACAATGGTCCTGAGAAGAGCCCCTGCAAAGAGCTATGGGCATCCTGGGCCGTAGGGAACAAGGTGCTTCTCTGCAGTTGCTTCCAGAGACCTCCCTCACCTGTCTATGGTCTCTGCTTGGCCACAGCAAAACCCTGCAAATGATACATTCCTGAGTCACCTCCATGTTACCAGAGGGCACCAACCTAGAGCAAGTACTGGGAAGCTGTGGGGTGGGGATGGAAGGAGATCACAGACTCTCTCCTCTATTCAAATGAAGCAAACAAAATGGTCTCAGAGGCTTGAAGCACATGCTCTGAAGTGAAAGGGCATCCATCAAGTATTCCACCAATGTCAGCTGGCATGCTAAAGTGCTAAACTGCAAGATGCCAGAGTTGTCACCATGTTATACCAGGAGAGACAAACAGACCTGTTTGTGTGGGAACACTGAGGCAGGCCTGACGTGGGGAGCCTGCAGTGCTCAGATCTTCAGAAAAAACGGGCACTCCCTGGGTGTGGTAAGGGCAACCTTCCCCATCCCAATTACAGATTCAGTCCAGCAGTTAGTATTCACTTAACTGCTCTGCAACTCCTGCAACTCACTCTTTGAGAGGAAGCCGGATCGCAGACAGTTCTCCAAGGATGGTCAGGAAGTCTTGTGGAGAGAACAGGGAAGCTAGAGTTGTGGTGGGTGGGTTTGTGTGCATGAGAATGTCAAGACATTAGAAACTCCAGCTTCTCTAAGTCACTCCAGGTTTTCCACCAGACTCATGAAAAGAAATCCCCTTCATTGTCAGACTGGAGATCAAAAGCAGAAACACAACCTAGTACGAACTGGAAGATGCAGAAGCCATTTGCTATTTCTTACTCAAGGGGAGTGGCACCTTTCCTAGGTTACTTGGCTACTCTTATGGAAGACAATTACTCTCTGTCACATATGAGTGACAGGGTGACCAGTCATCCTATTTTAGGGACAGTGCCATGTTAGAATTAGGAGTGACATTGGCAAAACCCACAGTTATCGCCCCCTCCCGGCTCTATCTTACACAACTGCCAAAACTTAAGATTCATTTTTAAAAATCATTTTCTTTGATTTTTTTGTTCATTATTAACATTACTGAATTAGTAAAAGAAAAAAAGATATCTGGATTAAAGCATACAATTTTTAAATTAAAAAAGTTATTTCAAGAAAAAGTATATAACTCTTGCTACTACGTGTATTAAGAGCAACCCTGAAGTCACATGCAACATGTAATCTTGTATGCTGAACTTGGTGGCATGTGCTCCTGTATCCACAGCTTGGTGTCATCACCAAGTGAAAATAACTGGAAGCAAGGAAGTGTGACTCTACAAACTGTTTGCTACTGCAATTCTAGGACTACACTTTGAAAGGAAAATATAGAAAGGGGTATCTGGATAAACGGATAAAGCATCTTTTCTTGTTGATTTCTTCAAAAGGCAAGGGAGGTTAGCAACACACTTAATAGTATCAAATATACAAACTCTTTGCAGACAGCATCCCTTTCTCTTGGAACAGGGCACATGAGATGTACAGGTAATAAATAGTTATACATCAGAACGTAAGATATTTGGTACAAGTAATTCCAGGCCAGCTAAATAATGCAGTCACAGGGCACCAGAAGAACATGTTACAAGCACTGAAGACGCTACACAATCGAAATGAACAAGTCCTCTTGATGAAAGAATTTGGCAGGTATTTACAGTTCAGAAGAACAAAATGTCAAACTGTAAGGCATGAGATATTTCTTGGCAGACCTCGCTTTGACACCTTCCTTCTGTCCAGTTTGGTACACGGTGGCTGGACATATTCGGTCACTTTTGTCTGTCTTGTGACTAATTAATTTTTCATAATGATATTTATTTGCAACGCAATTTGGTCACCAGGTATGCTATGCTCAGAAAGAGCCACACAATCAGTAAATTGGGGCTCAGAGCTAATAAAGGAATGGAACAGAGGAGGCTGGGGTCTAGCCTTAAGTCTCGGATGGGCACCAGGCCGCTCAAGTTCTTCTGGGTGACTACCTCCCGTGTTCCAATGCTGTGAAAAGGAAAAAGTTGAGAGAAAGGAAAAGAAAGGGGGGAAGGAAAGGAAAGGAAAGGAAAGGAAAGAAAGAAAAAAGACAGACACATGCGATGGGTTTTACCCAAAAGAATGGAGAGAAAGGAGAACCAAAAGATAAGATTAAAAAAAAAAATGGAATGAACCACAACAGAAAGAAAAATAAGATGCAGAGAAGGTTGTGAACAAGACAGCAAAACAAAACCAGCACAGTCACAGGGAAGAAAGGAGAGAAAGAGAAGTGAAAAATAAGAAAAATACTGCAGTCTACCAAAATTAAACACATGTAAGTAGAAAGGATGGTTTTCCATGTTCACCCTCTCTCGACTGGCCAAGCACAGCTCCATGCCGCCCGCCATGCCCCACATGCTACAGATGGGCACTTCTGAGAAGCAAGCTGAACATGAAGAACCATGGCTTTGACCTTCTCACAGATGCCTCGGTGAGGGTGGCTACAAAGCGGACTCTTGATTAACCACACAGCACAAATCATTACCCAGTGCAGCATCCTCCCCCACCTGCCCCAAGTCTCAGTCTGAATGTCAGAGGGGTGCAGCAATCTTGTCTTGAGCTTCGTAAGATACCGTTCTAAAGATGATCCCTCAAACTGGAGTCAACCAAATTCACATTGGAAATTTGGAATTTTTCCTTATTTTAGTCCTAAAGAAAAAATTGTTCTGGAGGCGGGGTGTAATAGCTCAGGGATAAACTATGCTAGGTGGCACTTGGTCCTAGGTTCAAGCCCCAATACCAAAAAGGTGAAGGACGCTCTGAGGTTGGATGGTATCTGGAACCACATGACTGAGGACCAACATCCCTCCTATCAAGCAAACAGCAACACTAACAGGGACTCTGGTCTCAGGCATGGTGGGTACTCTGAACAAACAGCTTGCAGATGAGTAGGCGGGGCTCAAGATGCCTTCTGCAGCTGCATCCTGCCTGGCTTTCTGAGCAGAAGCCTTACGTTCTGGACTGGCCCTACTGGGATGTTCTTTTCTAACAAGGGACACTCTGCAAACTGGTAAGGACTGACTAATGACTACAATGTCTGCCAGGGCTGCCTGCTGGGCCATTGTGGCTGCCCGGGAGGGCCTACTATACGAGGATTTCAGTTCCTAACATGCGATAGAGGGCCACCTCTGCCTGTGCCGTTACCCTCAGCTTGGCCCACATGGCTTACAGGAGTTGGGTGTTGAATATAGACCCAACCTCACGTTCATACACACTGAGAACTTGAAATGGTCCCTGGTACAAGAATTCATGTGCACACTTGGGCAGCCACTCCAGATCAATTATTATTGTTACTATTACCATGAGCACATGTGCCTGTGTGTGTGCACTTGTCCGGGAGTCAGCACAGTGCCAGCTCTGCTCCCACCTGTACATTCTACTCTTCCATCTGATAAGACACAAGTGAGAAAGCAGGAGAATCAAAAACAGAATCCCTCTACTCAATGATATTGCTGGGATCCACCAGTGCTTTCTTTAGGGCTCTCAGTGTGCTGCAGTGCTGGTTGTCACAGTCGCAACAGGGCTTGCAGGTAACTAACAGAATGTGTCTTTACCATATGGGCTAATCCAAAAACCTTTGAGTGTGACTGTGTCACTTGAAAACAGACCTGCAGGAAAGTTCAGGGCACTTCAGGGGCAGCAGAGGGCAGCATCGAGCACTGTCACCGTGCTGAGGCTAGTGGGACAGGCAGAGGCTCTGCTTTGTATTTAATGGCTGTTGAAAATTACTCAACTAAAACGTGTCCACTGTAGAGACTTTAGATTCTAGAAAGTTTCGTGGTTAGAGACAGGGAGTGGACTGAATGAGACAGAGAAAGAGAGCAGGATATATGTGTATTTCCTAGGAGGAAAGTCATTCCTTGCTCTCAATCTTGGGGTCCATAAACAGTACAGGAAAACAACTCTAACTTAACAGCCTCTAAGCTGACAATGACGACAGGAATGAGACTCTAGAACACTGAGCCAGTGAAACTTAATAACCTCTATTCAAATTTTAGAGATCTACAAAGATGTGGGACTATTAAAGAATGATGTGTCAAATGTGACATTACCGTCTAGCTATGAAGTGTTCTTCCACCAAAGGGTCATATAAAGGCTTGGGCCCCCATGCAAACAGTGCTCAAAAGATGGGAATCTGTGAAGTAGTTGGCAAGGGCTCTGCCTTCATCAGTGAATTAACAGATTGGGAGGTGGTAACTGTGGAAGACAGGGCCTGGTTGGAGGGCTAGGTCAATAGAGTATGTATCATTTATTGGTCATGTGTGCATGTGCCATGGTGCATGAGGTGGAGGCATGTGTGACTTGTAACAGTTGGTTTTCACCATCTGGGTCCCAGTGATCAAACTCAGGCCATCATGCTTAGGGACAAACTCCTTTGCCCAATGAGTTATCTCAACAGCCCTTAAGTTTGTTTAGATAGTTTCACACCTTTATAAACTGAATTTTAGTCATTTTCACTCCACCCTCTCCCTCTTCCTGTAGGAACCCTTCTCAACAAGTCTTCCTTCTCCTTCCATGCTTTCTTTATGTGTGTGGCCACTGAGTCTAGTTATGGGAGCTTATTTACTGGATCGAGGACAAAGGTATGTGTCTTTAAAAGGTATTATTTTGTCCCCACCTTCACTCTGTGTCCTGCTTATTGTGAGTGAGCAACTGTGTGCTGCCATGCCCTCCTGATAGGATACTTTGCCTTACCAAGGACAAGAAACAAACCTGCTGAACCCTCTCTAACTATGAGCCAAATCCTCTTCCCTTCTACTCCTTTCTCAGGTTCTGTCACTGCCATGGGAAACAGACCAACACACATCTGTTTGGAGAAGTAGGGTACTGTGACTATACTGGGTCATCTGATTCAGAAGCCTTTGGAATTGGCTTGCAGGAGGAATTCAGAGTCTGGAGAAACAGCCTAAAAACCCTTAGGATGCTGTAAGCAGAGTTTAATGGGTAATTCAGGGGTTCAGATGTCCAGAATGCTAAACAAAATGGGGACAGTAAAGACTTTGATCATGAGATTTCTCCCAGATGGGAACAGACTTGACTGGAAGCCAGACTAGAGGCCATCCACATTACATTCTGGCAAAGAACTTCTCTATATTTTGTCCCTGTCCTGTGGATGGTATAAATAAAAGGAGTCAGAGCAGCCCATTACTCAAGCTGTTGCATAGGTGCTACTGGCCACATTAATGGTAAGAACTGGGAACAAAAAAAAAAAACAGAACTAAAAGGTGAAAACTTTCTATTTGCCCAGAATGAGGCATAGGTAAAGCGGGCCAAAGAATTTGTGGCTGCTAAACAGATTAGAACTCACCTGTGGAAGATATGGGCCCCAGCTAGTGGGCCCCACTGAGAGGTAACTTGGACCTGAGGACTCTGCTTTTATCAATAGACTAATCTACTGACGGGGTCATTGTTTAATGCACTATTATTGGGATGTAGTGGGGGGCATGATTGGAGGTAGTGGTCCCTAGGGATGTGCCTTTGAAGGACACTGGTCCCAGCCTTTACTGTCTAACCATAGGGATCCCTGTCTGGGTTGTCCTCACTTCAGGGCAGATATCTGTAGTCCACTAGATCAGCCTTTCCCCTACTGCACAATTAATGTGGCATGGAATAACTACTACCCTCAGAACCAGGATCACTTGGGGTATAGAGGCTAAAAGGGTACAGAGATTCTGGACACAGACCCTTAGTGCCTCCAAGACTCCTTTGCTTTTCCACCACTAGGGTTGGAGGCATGGAGTGCTGAGGAACATTAACAGATGTTTAAATGAACTTGGAGACCAAACAGGAACAGAATGATGCCATTTATGCTACTATCAAGAGTCATGAGCTCAGGCATCACTTTGTGCATTGTGAGAAGGTCAAATGGCAGAAACATAGAGAAAGGATAAGAGAATTGAACACTTTAAAGAATTTGGTGAGAGGACAAATGATACAGAACATTCAGTAGAAGTGACTGTTGAAAACGAGACTTTAACAGCATTGGTGACTACATCCAAGGAGACAGGAAAACCAGGTTTCTTATCCTTTCTTTTGGTATGCGAGGTAGGGAGCTTCCCAGCAGTGCTTGAAACAAGGCATCCATCAACAGAGGACAACTGAATTCTGGGTTTCATTCTGCAAACACATCTGCTGCCTCAGAATCAGGACATCATTAGGGGGAGGTGGCCAGGGCACACAGACAGCTATCACCATAAAACATTCATTGGACATTTTGCTCATGAGAGCAAACTCTGTCCACTACTAGAGAGGTAGCAGAGCAAACCAGTGCAATCTGCAGACACGGTTCCTTCACTGGAGTTTGGAAGTCTACAATGCACACATATATACTATGTAAAAGCAGCTGCCTGCTGAGAAAGTGTGGGCTCAAAATCCCAGTTAGGTGGCTCCCCATCCTAGCTGAACTGTCTGACCCAGCCTGCCCACCACTCCATGGGGTCAGTTCAGTTCTGCTCAAAAAGAGTGTGGCTTTCCCTCTTGGCCTTCTCAGAGTTTGACAGGGCCAGTGGTTTGAGTAGTGGTCAAACTCAAGTGTGCTAAAGTTTAGGACCCCATGTGGGTCAGGGGTATGGGCTCATCTGCAGTTTACACAGCAAAGGAATGCAGGTGGCTGGGAAGGTGCAGCCTGACATTAGCCCTCACTCACCTGCGCATGCATTCCAGGGCTTGTGTGAAGACCTGCGGGGCCATGCCGTGCTCATGCTGCAGGATCAGGCACTGCTCCAGCGTCACTGACATGGCTGTACGGTCCTTGGCACTCTTGCAGCTGGTGAATCGGACTCCATTAAGGCGGCGACAGACCTGCCAACAGGAAATGGGCTCTTCTTAGGAGAGAAAAGCCAGCAGAAAGGTAACACCCACAATGGGAGGGGGCGCCCAGGTCTGGCAGGAGCTCCAAGCCTGGTCCCAGTATGACTACCTGGTTCCCCAACTCAGTATCAGAATCTAAGTTAACTCCAAAGGAAGACCCTGGCACCTAAAGAGCCCAACTTCATCTCTGCCCCACAACCCCATCCCTCAGAACTTGTCCCCTGTATGTTCTGCCAAGGGACATTCCCTATAGAGACTTCTGGGCATCACTGTTTTGGACTAACCCTTACTAGCTATCCTTTATAAGCCATTCTGGGCCTTTTTGGCACACCCAACCCAACGAATGAGGACACATAGGATAATCCAGCCAGGGGAAACACTGCTACTCACATGGCCCCCTTGTCCCTGGACCTGCTAATATAAATCCTCTCCCATGGCAAGAACACTGTGGACATGCTAGATACACTCCTAGATTCATGGCTCCTAAACACAGTAGGCCCTGGCACTAGAAGTGTTCTGTAGTGACAGGTTCCAAAACTAGCAGGTCTACAGTCAGCTCTAGGGCTCTGGCTAGGTCTCCCCAACTGTGAAAAGATCAGGTAAACGTGATTGAAGGCTTTTCAACAAACTAGTTGGGACTCTGTTCATATGCAAAAGTGAAAATAAGGTTCAGAAAAACAACAGCTCTGGGGGACATAGTGTCTAAGTGGCATGGCTCTGCTGCCCCAAATTCACTGTTCCCCACAGATGACCATGTGGGCAACATGAAATGGGATATACAAGGGTCCTTGAATACTCTGCACTCCTGAATCTATGCTTCTATGCCTGGGACTCTGCTGGGAACAAGAACTATGGGTTGGAAGGTTTGCTTTTGACTTGAGGGAGGGTCGGCTGCCCCCACAACTAACTGATGATTGTTCTGTGGCATGCACAGACAGAGAACCAGTCTCTAAACAAGCATGCATGGGTCTGTGCCTCTGCAAAGCTGTCTCTGTGCTATTCTAAGAATGGATCAGTGAGGGACAGTCCTAGTCCACAGCTCAGTATCAGTCAGTGTCACTGGATCATATTGCATGAAAAAAGGCTGGCTCTCAGAAGTTCACAAAGGCACTTATAAAATGGGCTGTCACTTTATAGCAGTTCCCTCAAACAAAAAGGAAGAGTTGCCCTCCCCGCCCACCCTGCTGCATGGACCCAACCAAGAGAAGGCATGTTCTCCTTCTGTGTTTCCATCTCATTTGCTGAACCCAGTCTGACAATGCCAAACTAGGCCCCAAACTAAAGAGAAAATGGGAAAACAGTCTGTGAATCTTGCTATGACTTTTGTCACTTGGTGTTTCAAAATAGGTCCCATTGTAATTACAGCTTAGCCAGACAAAGACCCACAGTGGACCCATCCCACATCCCCCACAGGGAGTGGGGGCCTCACAGCTGGGCTACTGCAGAAGATGCAGAAGAGAAGGTCTGCTCTCTAGCACTTCATTTCCCAAGCAGATCAGCAACCACAGCTATAAGCCACTCATACTGTAAAGCTCGTCCAAGAAAAGGGCCACTACAAAGACACCCTAAACAGGCTCTAACAGTAACTGGGGATGGTCTAGCAAGCACCAGGTCAGGCAAGGACCATTTGCTGCCATGGAAGAAAGAGTTGGAAAAACCTGACGAGGACAGTGCCATCTCCCCTCAGCGTGAAGCCAGCTTCTGCCTGGGTCCCTTCCTGTCCTTCTCAGGCTCAGGCAGGGAGGTACAATGCCAGTGGCAATGCTCATAGTCCTGAATCTTGGAACTGGCCAGGACATACTGCCATAGGTATGGGGGACACACGAGTGACTGACTCAGATACCCCAGGTCTTAGTGGAGACCTGGAATTCTGTGACTGAAGTTCTGAGAAAACACCAGTTGTGTAGGTGCTTGGGGCAATGAGGAGGTCTGAATGGCAATGCAGAGTAAGAATTCTATAAGGAGCTAGGAGAGGTAGCCACAGTCTCCTTCTGAACCTCTAAAGCCCAGGTAGATAAGGCCTCAGCAGGGATCAAATGACTGTGTAGGCGGGCAAATACCCAGGAACAGATCCCATGTCTGTAGGGGGAGTCCATGCAGCCCTATCAGAATGAACTCCTGGGCAATGATGCTCAGTGTCTTCAAGCATCACTAAAGCTATGCAGTGGTCCTTCCTTGTGCCCTTTTGTTGGAGGGATCTATGCTCTCCTCCCTGGCTGAAGTGTTGACCAGTGGTGTTGGAAGGGGCACCATGATGAGTACCTCAGCAGCTTGCCAGAGGATGTCCACGTTCTTATTCTTGCGTGCATGGACGTTCTGTCCTAGAAACCGCAGCAGCTCTGGCAGGCAGGTCTGACTCCGAGATCGAGGTAGACCTGGAAGAGACAAGGAGTCCATGGGAGAGGGAACCATTCAAAGATACCACTGCTTCACAGCAGGTACAGGAGGGAGGTGTTTGGCAGATTTGAACATGGTCCCCAGGATGCTGAGCCCTGTTCCCTTCACTGCTATTAGTGCCACCATCAAAGGGCAGTGACTTTTATCTTTTGTTGGCTTTCCCAAGAAGCAGGAGAAGGAGTTGCCAAAGGAACGGTAATTACCCAGGCTCCTTGCCCCCCCAAGGAGCAGTGAGAAACAAGTGAGGGTGAGCTGCCTGGTTTCCAAAGCAACATCAAGATGCTTGAAGCAATGGATCTTGACTAGCGAGCTAGTGGATGGAAATCTTGGGAGAATCTGGAAGTGCAGCCTCTTATGAGAGACCTCAACTCACACTTGGAACAAATTTTGAGTGGCTCAGGGATCCCTAACCCCACTAATCCTAACAGCCCCTCTCTTCTACTGTGGAAGTTTCCAGGCTCCCCTTGCAGGACCTCCTGAGCCCCCAGGTCATACTGCTTCACCCAAGAAACCTGGAACAAAAATCAAAGACAAGGAAACCACTTCTAAAGGTACTGTGGGATTTTCAAACACTGGTATCGTTAGAGAGCAGAGCCTCAAGGTCATGACCGAGGAAACATGTCTGAGTCCTCCAGTCAAGTGCACTCCTACAGCACAACCTTCCTTTGGTGCACACAGGCTCCTGTGTGAATCTGCTATGCATCCTCATTTGGAAGATGAAGCAGAAACAGAAGGGAGAAGCCTTCTGCCTGTGAGGCCTGCAGTCTGCAATGCAGGCTGTGGAAGCCCAGAGGGGAGCTTCATCTTGGTCAGGGCACTCATCCTCCAGAGGAGAAAAATGATCTTACCTCCTAACTGCCAATCAGCTGCAGCCTCTCCCTGGCCTAACCTGCAACCTTCGTTTTAGTGCCTGTCTGACCACTGTGGGGCATGTGGACATGGCATGTCCAGGTGGAAGGAGCCTATGATTCTGGGAAGCACAGTTTACCAACCCTCCCTGGGACTTATGGGCACATGGACTACCTCCCCTGGCTTCCTAGCTTCTGCTTCTTTGGACTTCCTCATTCCCTGGACTTTATTCTGGATCTGCTTTTGTACCTCTGGGGGTGGAGTAGGGGCTCTGGCAACACCAGAAACTATCCACTGTCCACAATGTTGGTGGCAGGACAGCACTCGCTAATGCCCCATTCCCCCCATCCTTGGAGTAGCACTGGCCCCTCCATCAATGTCCATCCTAGTTCTCTGGTTGATGATCTTGTCCCCACAAGGCTATAGCCTGTCTCTCCTCTTACAGCAGTAAAGAAAGATGCTAATGGGATCGGTGTGGCTCCTGGGGAGACACACCCTCCAGACCTCAGTGTTCTCATTTGTCAAGTGTGTGTGTGTGTGTGTGTGTGTGTGTGAGAGAGAGAGAGAGAGAGAGAGAGAGAGAGAGAGAGAGAGAGAGAGAGAGAGAGAGAGAGAGAGAGAGAGAGAGAGAGAGACGCGCGCACACACACACCCCCCCCCCCCCCCCCCCCCCCCCCCCCCCCCCCCCCGCAGGGGCAGGGTGACCACAGGAAAGTGAAGCTCACAGTTGATGCTTTTCTGTTCTGTCCTACCCCTTCTAAAATTTAATAGAATGATGAGGACAAAGGAGAGATGAAACAGTTGCTAAGTAGGGGGGCAGCTATGGAGCAGAGCAGATAGTCTTCATGAGAAGTGAGCCAGAGCCCCTGGCATATGGCAAGCACGTGACAGGCCTGTTTTTAATAATGAACACTAAGGAAGGATTGGAGGACACCTCACTGATGACCTACAGTTCAGTCCTGGGAGGGACTAGAGGCTAGAGACACTCCTGGAACATATGTGTGCTGGCGAGTTTTATGTCAACCTGACATCATCTAGATAGAGTTGTTTAGGAAGACAGAACCACAGTTGAGAAAATGCCTCCACTAGACTGGCCTGTGGGCAAGCCTGTGCTGCACTGCCTTACTGATAACTGATGCTGATATGGGGGCCATCCCACTGTGGGTGATTTCACCCCTGGGCTGCTGGTCCTGAATTCTCAAAGAAAGCAGGCTGAGCAAGTCCTGGAGAATAAGCCTGTAAGCTACCCCTCCATGGCCTCTGCATCATCTCCTGCCTTCAGCTCCTCCCCTGACTTCCTTTGATGATGGACTATGATGTGAAAGTATAAGCTGAAACAAACCTTTTTCTCCCCAAGTTGTCTTTGGTCATGGTGTTTTATCACAGCAATAGAAACCCACATTAAGATACTATGAAAGTATCCACATGCTTAAGGCAATGTGCTTAAGGTTCTCAAAGTGCTTAGGTGGAGAACCTTGCAGGCTGTCAGAACTTTGCAGTGTGCCTCAGTCCCTGACCATGCCATACCAGCAGCAGGTGAGGGCCACAAAGGAAACAATGTTTCAGGCGACACTCTTGCCTTCCTGGGGCTGCCTGTAGCCTGTGTCCCCTCTCTCAGGCTAACCAGCACACTGGGAAGCCCAAGCAGAGGCAGCTTTTTCCCATTTCCCAAATGAGCACTGCCAAATGAATGGCAATGCCTTCTCCTGGGTCCTTCTTAACTGTCTAGGAACATAGGTTTCACAGGCAGGCGATCCTTCCTCTCCCTTCTTGTGATTCACAACAATGAACACAGAACAGTATGTGGGGCACTGAGACTGCTGCCTGGCTCATCAGTGGCCTGCAAGTGCTCTCTGCATCGCTGTTTCATCATCAGTTCTCAACTCTAGGACCATCTCACCTTTTCACAGAACGCAAAGGAAACCTGCTTATATGCTCAGTCAGTATCTGTTCCTTTTTGGACCCACCCCACACACGTGAAAATGAAACTTATATCTAGTAGAGGACAGGTGTCTGTGTGCTCTGTGTGGTACCCAAAGAGACAGGGGCTGTCTCACTAGGGATAAATATGCAGAGGCTCAGAGGATTTGCTGAGACGAAGTTAGAAGACTTGCGCTATAAGTTCGGCTGAGCAGCTTGGGTGTCTCCTGAGTGCTATGGCTGCCAGAACCTTCTCTGAAGTATCCTCACATGGAGAACAGAACTGTACATGAGCACAACACGGAATTCCACTGCCTCTGGGGGACTGTGGCAGGGCCATCTTGCCCACAAACACTCAGTGTAAAGTATCTTTTCTGCATCTTATTCTACACGCCAGGGACAGAAATACACAACAGCTCATGCAGAACCCTTGGACTGACTCCAGGAAACCCCAGTGCTCCCAGCAGGTACACACAGTCTGCCATGGAATGGGTCAATGTGAGGCAGAACACAGTGTCATGCATAGCAGAAGAGAATCAACTGCAGAAGAGGGAGGCAGGATTCAGCACCATGGAAGGCTTCAGGGGAGGGACTCGAGCTAGGTGACTAGGATGCCAGGCACATATGTGAGGGGAGAGAAGGAACAGCTCAAATACAGCCATTAGGGTTCTGTGTACACAGTGATTTGCACAACAGTGCAGTAGGATGATGGGCAGCATACAAGAGAGAAAGCAGAAGGCTGGAGCTCAGGCCTCCAAAGTGAAGACTGCACAAGCAGTGTGGAACACAGTGTGAGCGAAGGAATACTCACAGTCCTCCGGCAAAACCTCCTTAAACTGCTCAAAGTAGGAATTTAGCCGCACCAAACTCTCTACGTTGATGACTTCTTGTAAGGATGTGTCTCCAAACCTTGGGGAGAATCAGGTCATCAGTAGAAGGGCCATGTCATCAACCTCTAACAAGTTGAAAGCTGCAAGAAATATCTATGAGGATCGAGTCTCCTAAGTAGATAACCTTCAAGTCTAAACCCCAAGTCTTTCTTTCCTTCCTGAGGATGAAGCCATCCTTACAGCACCGGGAACAAATTTCACAAGCAGAAACTACTGTGACTCACTACAAGTAACATCTAAGAGTGAGGTGCCTAAGAGTACACTGGTACAGGCTCCATGCTTGCAACAGTTTGGTAAGAAGTCTCTCCAGACAAGCTCACATGTGGAAGGCTTGGACTCTGGGTACCAGTGAGAGTGATTGGATCCTGAAGACTCACTGGTAAGTTTCCAGCTAAATGCTCTACTGGTATGGGGCAGACACTGGGGGCACATCTTTGAAGGGCTGGCCTCGTCTTCTGACCCTTCCTGTCTCATGCACACCATGGAGTAAGCTACTTTGTCCCACCATAGATATGAGCTCTACATCATGATTTTGTGCCTTGCCTTGCACAGGCTGAGGAGCAATGGAGCCAGCGACCATGGCCTGAAACTTGTGAAATCATAAGCCAAAATAAATCTCTACTTCTTAAGCTTTCTATCTTTTTAAAGGTATTGCCACAGCAGCAACAACAACAACATGACCAACAGCATCAGACTCAGAGACTGAAGAGTCCACTGTGTGTCACAGGCTCTCAGCTTAGAGTTCTTGTGTCTTCCTGTCTCAAAGATACCCAGGAAAGGGACCAGCAGTGCAGGGAGCCAGGAATAAGGAGATTGTGCTGGGATCTGAAGTCACCCTCTGCTGTATGAACACTAACTGTCCCTCTGGGTTGGGCTAGGGCCTTTGCTCTTTTTGAATTAAGGTGGGCTTGACCTATGCCCACTACATGTTGCAAGAATGACTATACCAAATACATGAGGTAAGTAATGAAGAGATGGATGCTACCTGCAAGGAAGCGCTAAACAGTAAAAAGGGGGGGGAAAGGCCCTTCAGTTGTACAGTCTGAGACCTGGGCCCTCAGCCCAGCCCATCACTCCCCAGCTCTATTCCCTTCCAGTATTAGCCTCAGAGGTAGTACTCCCTCCTACTCAACACAGACAACCCAGCCTGGTGTCCACACAGCTTTGTGTCTAATAGGTACCTGCTCCCTCGGGGTCTGGGGACATCTTCCCATTTTGTGCAGATTCCCTTCATCTCAGAAGCAAAGCAAGTGTGCTGCTGGAGCACACAAACAAGCCACACCCAGACTGCTCACTCCTCAACTCCACCCAGCATGCATTCTCACCTCTACCCTCTTCTCTGCTCACTGCTCCTGGACTTGTCTCAGTCCTTACCAGAAACTGCTTAACAGCGGCTGAATACAGGGAATGTCACTCTCACGCTCCTGGGGCACCTTCAGCTGTAGCAGGAGGCCCACTCTCCTCAAAGGAGATCCTTCTAGCTCATGCCTCAAGGGGGCTACTTCTTGCATTGATTCCTTAGCTTGGGCCTCCAAACACAACCTTCCCCACTGTCCTGAGCTCAGAGAAGGCACCAACCCACCTGTCCAATCTAGAAGCCTCAGTCTACTTACTGTCCATGCTCCTTACATCATTCGCCAGTTGGTCCCTTCTCAGATCACTAACACCGTGCTCCACCTATCCAGATGCATAACACTGACCTGTAGCCTAGCCTCTTCAGCAACGTCTTCACGTTTCACCTCAATCCTTTCTACCCATGGCCAGCAATTTGACCTCCTTAACATGTAAATCTGATCGTACCTTGTTCTACCAAAAGATGTACAACATCTTCCAGCAATCACAGTGTATTTCCCAAGATGAGGTGAGCCCACACCCACAGCTCCATGGACACCGAACACCAGTGCATAGGCAGCAGGAGAGTGGCACACACCTCTCAGCCAGTGTCTGTTGCTCATTGATGCCCACGTTGAAGAGGACTGGCTGCACCCGCAGCAGCATGCCACTCTGGATCTCTCGGGGCAGGGAGTCAAACAGTGGTCCTGGCAGAGGGATCCGTACATTAAAGCCATCACTAGTGGAGAGAGGGAAAGTAGGGGTGAGGTCAGGACACTGAGAGTAGGGGATAGACCCAAAGCATACTTCAGAGCCTTGGGTGACACTCTGGCTACCGTGGCTCAAGTGCCTACTCAGACCTTAAAGGAGAAATTATGAAATTAACATGGGTAGGGGGAAGGCTGTATGCCATGTTTTAAAAGATTAAAATAAAATAAAATAAAAGCAAAGTAGAATGTGTCCTATGAGGCAAACACAAATGAAGAACATTGCTCTTGACTGAAGTATTTAAAAAATGATTATTTTGGGCCAGGCATTGGTGGCACACACCTTTAATCCCAGCACTCAGAAGGCAGAGGCAGGTGGATTTCTATGAGTTTGAGGCTACACTGGTCTACAAGAACTAGTTCCAGGACAGCCTCCAAAGCTACAGAGAAACCCTGTCTCGAAAAACTGAATCAAAAAAAGAAGATTATTTTACCGGTTTCCAGTGATGACTGGCAGCATGTCAGTTGATGCATTTGAAGTGGCCTGAGTGACTTTAAAGGTCACATTCCTCAAGTCCATGATTCCAAGGCTCATGTCCTCCAACATGGCTAACTCTTCTCCTGAGAGGAGATGATAAAGAGAAAGGGGTGATGTGAACAGTTGTGAACAGAGGGCTAAGGGCATGGATGGGAGGACATTCTCTGAGCCCCTTCCCCTTGACTCCATGCTCTGTGAGCCAATGTGCTATTGACTACTTAACAACACTGCAAATGTAGCTTGTAGAATTGGGCACCACCCCGCTTAAGATTTTTTGTGCATGGCACCTGAGAAGCACACACCATCTCTTCACGGATGGGAAGAAAAACAGTAAAATAGCTTTTCTGTGGCCAATTGGTCCACCACCCATGGCTGGATACCTCATCAAAAACCTATAATCTAACGAGATTGGGTGCATTCAGGGTGGTATGGCCATGGAAGAAGAATGCCAATAGATCCTTATTTATCACTCTGCGTAAAACTCGAGTCCAAATGGATCAAAGACCCCAACATAAAACCAGATACACTGAACCTGAAAGAAGAGAAAGTGGAGAAAAGCCTCAAATGCATTGGAACAGGAGACAACTTCCTTAATAGAACACCAGTAGTATAGGCACTAAGATCAACAATCAATAAATGGGACCTCATGAAACTGAAAAGTTTCTGTAAGGCAATGAATACAGTCAACAAGACAAAATGGCATCCCACAGAAATGGAAAAGATCTTCACCAACTCCACATCTGACAGTGGGTTAATATCCAAATATATAAAGAACTCAAGAAGCTAGATATCAAAATACCAAATAATTCAATTAATAAATGGAGTACAGATCTAAACCGAATTCTCAACAGAGGAATCTCAAATGGCTGAGAAACACTTAAGGAGATGCTCAGCATCCTTAGCTATCAGGGAAATGTAAAACAAAACTTACTTTAAGATTTCATCTTACACTTGTCAGAATGGCTAATTAGGATCAATGACACAGAGACAATTTTTGCTGGAGATGATGTGGACCAAGGAAAATACTCCTCCTTTGCTGGTGGGAGTGCAAACTTGTACAGCCAATTTGAAAATCAATATGATGAAAATCAATATGAGGTAAATGGTAATCCATTTACCTCAAGACCCAGCTATATTACTCCTAGGTATATACCCAAAAGATGCTCCCCTATACCACCAGGACACTTGCTCAACTATGTTCATTCAAAGCAGATTTATTCATAATAGCCAGAAACTGGAAACAACATAGATGCCCCTCAACCAAGAATGGGTAAAGAATATGTGGTACAATTATACAATGAAGTATTTACTCAGCTGTTAAAAAAAAGTAACAACATGAAATTTACAGGCAAATGAACAGAACTTGAAAAAAACATCAAGTGAGGTAACCCAGACCCAGAAAGACAAACATGGTATGTATTCACTCAAAAGTGGATAATTAGCTATAAAAGATAATCATATTACAATCCACAGACTCCCAGTAACAAGGAGGGCTCAAGGGTTGGGGGACGCATGGATCACCCTGGGAAGGGTAAATAGAACAGATATCTCAAGTGGTCTGGGGATCAGGTGGGGAAGGATGGAGGGAGAGTGTTCTGGGAGAAACAACTAGAATTGGGGGGGAGCATTTTAGGAACAAGGTATAAACCTACTGCAGTGGAAACTCCCTGGAATCCATGAGTGTGACCCTAGCTAAGACTCCTAGCAATGGGGGATATGGAACCTAAACCAGCCATCTCCTATAACCAGGCAAGACTTCCAGTGGAGAGATTGAGTTATCAACCCAGCCACAAAACTTTGGACCTACAATTTGTCCTGCCTTAAAGATACACTGGGTGGTACAGAAATTCTGGGAGTGGTCAACCAATGAATGACTGGTCCAGCATGAGACCCATGCCATGAGAGGAAGCCCACATCTGACACTGCCTGAAGGGCCAGGATCCAGAGGATGGATGGCCCAGAACCCAGGATAGAACCAAACATGACTGAAAAAAAAACACACCATGACCAACAACAATGAAATGATTATTAATGATATTCTGCTACACATATAGATTGATGCCTAGCCTAATAGTTGTCAGAGGGGCTTCATCCAGCAACTGATGGGAACAGATGCAGAGACCCATAGCCAAACATTAGACAGAGCTCAAGGAATCCTGTGGAAGAGAGGGAAAAGGATTGTTAAGAGCCAGAGGGGTCAAAGGACACCACAAGAACACAGCCCACAGAATCAACTAAGCAGGACTCAGAAGGACCCACAGAGACTGAAGTGATAATCACAGAGCCTGTATGGGTCTGACCTAGGCCCTCTGCATATATGTTATTGCTATGTAGTTTGGTCTTCTTGTGGAACTCATAACAGTGGGAGCAAGGCTGTCCCTGACATTTTTGCCTGCCTTTGGAACCCCTTTCCTCCTACTGGGTTGTCCCATCCAGCCTAAATATGTGAGGAGATGCCTAGTCTTAACTGCCAACAACCCTGATATGCCAAGTTTGGCTGATATCCCTGGGAAGCCTGCCCTTTTTTTGAAGGGAAATGGAGGAGTGGATTGGGAGGAAAAGGGAGACGGACAGAGAGGAGAGGAGGGAGGGGTTGTAGTATATGAAAGAATAAATAAATTTTAAAAACATAATCCCAAGATGAAAAAAATACTTTAAAAAAGTCTGAGAAGAAGAGTTTCCCTAAAAGGCAATTTGGAATCAGCTTTTAAGTTTCTAACCACATCTTTCCCTTCACCAGCAACTCTCCTTCTCAGCTAGAGAAAGGAGCGCATATAATTACAAATGTCTTCAGTGCCACTGCACAAAAAAATTTAGTGGGGGTAATTCAGAAGCAACCCAAATTATCATCCATATACACTTGAAAGACCTTCAGGATAACCAAGGGGTATGCTTCACTATGCAGATTATCACCTAGTTCTTCGTCACATATCCTGGTGACATTTGGGCTCATTTAACATTTGGAAGGAAGGGGGTAGAGGCACAAATGAAACCACCCTTGAGGCCCTGGGTCAGTAGTCACACCCAAGCTGGGGTCTCACCATAGGTGCTCAGCAGGCTTTCAAACTGGGCCAGAAGCCCGATGGTATAGAGCTGGCGCAGGAAGCCATCATCGTGCAGGCAGTTCCTCAGCTTGATGATGAAGCCGCAGATGAGGGCTGTCAGCTGTGGAGAGCACAGGGGACGGTGTGTAGAACAGGCATTTTTACCCCAGGCAGTAACCAGTACATGCCCTGGTCCCTTTGCTTCCACTGCTCAAGGATCACCAGCAGCATCTCTTATCCCTCGGGGATGGGCTAGGGGGTGGGACCACAGTAATCAAAGGCTATGGGAAGGGTGGTACACATAGGCTTGCAGCACCTGTCAAAGATGAGCTTGATTTGGGCTCAGCTTCAGACATGACGTGCTTGGGGTTGTTACCGAACTGAAATGTTTTGGAAGCTTAGAATCAATTCCCAACAAGGAAAGGGCTATCTACTCAGATCTCCAGCAACCCAGTCTGGAAACAAGAGTGAATAAAGCTGCCTGGTTTCCTTAGGGAGGTTTTCTGAGGAACCAAACAGGCTTCCCAGCATCAGTGGGGGAACTACAGAGCACCAGGCCCCTAACAAGCTACTCACATCATTAGTTCTGGTACTGCATCTTTTAACTTGGGAAAATCATCTCAACTCGTCACTGAATGGTAACTGAAATCTTTAAATGGAGCCCTGTGATAAGCCACAGAACTTTAGTGCCTGCTGTTTCATCTGCACTGACAAGCACCCACGAGACCCTTCATCACATCCCTTATAGAGAGAAAGAAGGTGACAAGGAGGCCTTTGCCATTGCCCTGCTTGGTGTTGGGCTCTTCTGTCAGAACTAGCTCTTCAGGAGGAATAAATACTCATCGATGAGGTGTCTCCTTCCTAGGCCTCTCTATTAAGTTAACTGAAGAGCAACAGGCTGGGGAAACAAGGCCACCTGCGCTTTTCACAAGTTAGGGGGGAGAACAGGGCTGCCTGAGTCTGTTTTCTCTAAGGTAGGCGGTGCCCATGACAACCCTTATGTCCTCTGGGGGCTTACAGTTTGGCAGAAGACGACATCACGGCGGTACTGCAGGCTCAGGTATGAGGCAATGGTGGGGGCACTATCCTGCATGAGCAGGAAGACCATGGCCTTCTTGGCCTTGTCACTCATCATGGCCACACAGTCTGTGAGGGTGGTCAGCAGAGGGTAAAGGGCTTCACTCCATTCACCTGCACACGAGTGAAGGGCTTGTTAGAATTCCAAAGAAAGGCTGCAAGAAGCAAGTCCTGTAAAACAGCAAGCCACCTACCCCTAACCAATGTCCCATCCTTCCTCTAACACACCCTCAGCCCCTCTATCTGACCTTGCTTGCCCCACTATGTGGCCTGGAAAAGTAGCACTAAGTTCTGCCCAGAGCCAATTCTGCTCCATCCCTCTGCCTGCGTTTGCTGCAGTAAGCTAAAGCAGTTCTGCTCTGGTGTCATCTACACACACTACACGCCCTAAAACTAGAAACCCTTCCTCAATGGGCATGACTGTGGCTGTTGAAGAAAACAACAAAAGGAGCTTCTGCAGGTCATGACAAGGCCACAAGCATTCTGTGTGCAACAAGAGCCAGTCTTCTTCTACAGCATGGTGGTTCCTGTACTCCACAAGGAATGCCACAGACAGGGTCTATGTCATGGCCCTTCTCACAGCAAAGTGCCAACTCTGCTCCTGTCACCTCCTCTGTACTCACTCTGTTCCTCAAACCCCACTTCCCTGCTTGATGTCAACTATTTCCAGCCTAGTTTTCTTTTAGAAATGTGAGGGAACTTTGACCCTGCACCAAAAGAGCCCTTTAAAAATAGAACCTCATAGGGGAAGAGCAGGGTTGGGGGCAGCTTTGGCTCTGCCTTTGTTTCCTTCCTTCTTAGAAGACATCAAAAAAGACATGCCATGTCCAAAATTAGGCATCAGCCCACCCTACTGGCTGAAGCCAGCACTCCAAACAAGCTCAGGCAGTGCCCATCCTGGGGGAGGATGGAGTGCAGGCGCAACTGCCCTGCCAGGGGGAGCCGTGGCCTTTCACACACAGAGCCTGGAGACCCTAAGACAGGGGAGACTTGCTCTGCTTGCTCACCAGCTGGCTAGCACTTTAACTCCAAGAATGTGTGGAGGAACGTGCCCACACTCAATGCCAGGCCAGTGTGGATTAAATACACAAAACAGTTCAGGGCTGGATATGATCTAACAGGATATGCAGGCACACTGCATATGTGGACAAGAGTTATGTCTGTAATGGAAAAAAAAAGCTTAAATTTAGAATCTAAAGCAGAAAGGTCTTAGCAAACATGACACAGTGATAAAAAACACTGGACTGAGAAGTGGAAAATATGAGTTCCATGCCTGGTCACTGAGTAGTGGTGAACACAGGCCAGGCCCTGGACACCTCGGCCATGTGGTGCCTTTTTGGGAAAATCAGAGAGAAGCACTAGACAGACTCCCAGACCTCACTCTCCCCCTGAACTCCTCAGAAACCATGTTTCCTGTTTCTTTGAAGAACTCTGTCAACAGAGTCTATCAAAAATGGTCAATGATGGCCGGGCGTTGGTGGCACACGCCTTTAATCCCAGCCCTCGGGAGACAGAGGCAGGCGGATCTTTCTGAGTTCAAAACAGCCTGATCTACAGAGAGAGTTCCAGGCTCCCAAGCTACACAGAGAAATCCTGTCTCAAAAAAAAAAAAAAAAAAAAAAAAAAAGGCCAATGACACCTAGAGACTATAGCAAATCATTTGGGAATGGTACAGAGAAAATGCTAGTGCATGCTAGTGCATGCCTATAGTCCCAGGGCCTGGGAGGCTGAGGCTGGAGGATATCAAGTTCAAGGCTAGTCTGGACTACATACTAATATCCAACCTCAAAAAATAAAAACAATCAAGCTCCCTTAGTCCCCCAAATACTACTCGTCAGTAAGAATTGAAATGCTTAGATCAAATGCTGCCATTTTTACTTTGCTTTTCCAATAATCACACATATACAATTCATTGGATAATCATGGCCATTTTAACCTGAAAACAGAGTATCAAGTTCTGTTCAACTAAGCCAAGCTTCCCCAATATGATCTTTTTACTTTAACCACTTTTTTTCAGAAATGAAATTCATATAAGAATGATTTATTTGCTAAACTAGAAAAAAAAGAGTATAGAAGAAATTGCTAAAAGGCTAGGAAAGTAGGTGACGTGAAACTGCAAGAGGGCAAGTGTGACATCTTCCCAGATGGCATCAGACAGGTCTGGATGGCTGAGTTTAGTAAGGGCACCAACCACCATTTCCAGCATTATCCACACAGAGGGGAAGTGGGCTCAGAGGCTAAGACTCCTTCTAAAACACAAACAGGACGGGCACCTGTATATATCTGACTGACTCTCAAACCATTATCTTTAGTAGTCAACCTGCTTCTACTGGGGAGGCAGCAGGAGTTAGGGGATAATAGGTGTTTTGAGTATGAATAGAAACTCACAATTTAAAAAAAATCCCAAGCCAAATTGATATCAATAGCAGCACATGGTATCTACCCAGTCCTGTCAAATAAAAATGGCTGGGATGTTGAAGTTGGTAAAGGGTTTTCAATGTGCTATCTCAAAAGGAAAGACTACTACTTATTATTATTATTATCATTATTATCATTATCATTATTATTATTATTATTATTATTATTATTATTATTATTATTAAATTAAATCAGGTCAAATAGGCAATGTCCCAAGTCCCACTTTTAGGGGGGTAAATTCCTCAACTACCTACTAACCTGTGATGCCTGCTGCCTAGACAGCCCATGGTCCATACTACTTCAGATAACTTCGAATACTCTTCCAATCCACAGTCTGCTTTTGCTTTTTTGTTTTTTAAATTAATCCATCAGTATGAACAGGGAATGAGAGACAGAGTATATGTGTGTCTGTATGTATATGACCATGTATAGGTGTGTGCATCTACGTGTGAAGACTAGAAGTTAATGTTTAATGTCTTCTTTTATTGCTCCTGTATTACTTTTTGAGATAGGGTCTCTCAATGAACTGGATGCTCACCAACCAGCTAATCTCCTGGCCAGCCAGCCAGCCAGCCAGCTCTGGGGACCAGACTGTTTCACTTCCCTCCCCAGTGTCGGACTTACAGGCATGCTCTGCCACTCCTGGCTTTTCATTTGGGTGCTGGGAAATCTGAAATCAGATCCTCATGATTACACAGCAAGCACTTTACCCATCATGTAATCTCTCCAGCTTCTGAACTAAATATGCAGTACAGGACCCCTGGCAGGGAACCATTTTTGTCCATTTAACATCAACTGTGGAAAAGCCACCAGTGCTCCCTAAGTGGTGGAAGAATTCTATAAGTCAGAAAGAAACCAGAGCTGTTACAGGCTCACAGGCCACTCCTTCTGGTCCTCACTGCTGGCCACGGTCCCAGACTTGCAGGCAAGAAGAGAGCAAGGTTAGCTGTGCATCTACTGAGGCTCAATGACCCTGAGGGCTCATTCATGACACGGGGATCTAAGATCCACGTAAGGTTCCTACACTGACGTTTGAGGAAAAAGAACAATAAAGGGTTTGAAAGCAAACTGGGAATGTATGATGAGACCAGTGAGATACTGACTTCATTGCCATTCTGGGATTACTGCCAGGTGGTCACAGTAAGTGAACTCATGGCACTGTGTCAGTGGGCAAAAATGGATCCACAAACCCTGTGTTCATCATTTGCTGTACTCTAGATATAAAGTGGATATTTTTCCATCTTAGATCTACTCAGAAATATACAATCATTGGCCTGATCATATAGCTGATTTTTTTAGAGTAAAAAATTGTTTTGGGGAATAGAGGTGAATGCACACTGTGAGAAAACCACAAGCCATATACAGGAAGCTCATTAGGAACTAGGTCAGGGGTTGGCACACCCTACAATAGTCTTCATAGACTAGGAGGGCAACAGAGTGCCTCTGCACCAGCTCAAAACATTAGTTGATAGACAATAAAATACTATAAATACAGGCTGTGACCAGGATTTAGTCCAAGACTGTAGTTTGTCAATCTCTGAGCTAGAAGCAGGGGCATTAGGTTCTCCATGAAAATGGAGCAGAAAGACTTCATTCTTAGCAGTGACCCCAACTGAGGCCCAGATCGGTGTCTGGAAAGAATTCTAAAGCTGCACCCAGAAGCTGATGCTCACCACCACACCCCAAGAGGATGCAAATCATCCACCTGTGCCTTTAAAGCTACATGCGAACGTTCGGGCAAATATACAGAAATAGTCACAAACACATAACTTTGTAAATCAGATCACCCGCCACAGGACCCAGTGCACTCAGAGTAAGTCATGTGAGAAGGCTTTAGGATGCAGAAGGGAAAATACAATGTGTCCAGCAGCCTGCTTCAGGCCATAATTCCCTCAGTCCCACAGGTCCCTCACCAAACCTCAAAACAAAGGAAACCCTAACACATTTTCCCAACTATGGGAAAACAAAACAATCTTAGATAAGTGAGCTACAAGTGCTACCTGAATATTTAAAAGACACCAGCAGGAGCCTTGATCAGAAACCACGTACCTGGACTGGACTCTTCAGGAGGGGGGCTGCAATCTGCACAGAAATGGAGGGCAACAGGGATGATTAAGGAGCAGCACACAGTTCAAACATGAGCAACTCAGTCTCAGAGCTACTGCGTCAGCAGCTTGCAGCAAGGTGGTTAAACATATGGAGAAGAGGCTTGGAACTAGAAGCCTCTTACTCAGTTTCCCAAGGGCATTTCTGCTGCTATGAGCAGCTGAGCCCTCTCAGTGGTGAACAACAGTGATTCACCAGACTCAACATCCATGTTGTTAACACTTCAACATAAAATGTTCAAGATGAGTGAACCAACATACACAATGCCACAGATGCCACACTGATGATGGTGCGGTGATGGAGCCCCATGTTAGCTTACAACATCAAATGACAGAGACTGACCAACAAGTCTGCATGTCAACTGTGGAGCCCACTGCCCTGACTTACTGGGAATCCAGAGTTCAAGGTCTACTGCTGAGCTCCAAACTGGTAAGGCCCAATGATAAAAAACCAATTATACCAAAAGAACCTATGCCAGTTGTTAAAATCTAATTAAACTAAATGTAAAAGCTGTATGATTTGGAAGATGGCTCCAAATTAGGAAACTCCTCCAGTTAGGCCATTCCCTCCAGCTGGGCTGCCCCTCTAGTCAGAATGTCCCTCCCAAGTTGCTTTTAGTCATGGTGTTTTATCATAGCAATAAAAACCCTAACAAGGACAAGAACCATGGACAAATGACTCACAAAGACAAACAGCCTGATCACACAACACACTAGCTCCTAAATTCTAAAATATCTAACCATCTTCTGCATCTGCAGAAAATATTTAAAGTTACAAACAAAATTATATATATTTCTTCTTCATTCCTGAAGTAGCCTCATTCAGACACAGTAGGCAGGTGATCTACCACTTAACTATATCCCTAGTCCTACAGATAAGTTAATATTAAAGAGAAATAAGCAATGAACTTTGAGAAAAAAATTAAACAGAAAAATAAGAACTAAACAGACATAAACTAGTTTGATGCATCGATCACAGGAAAGGTGGCAGCTGCACCCCCACCCACTGACAGAAAAGCAGATGATTGGGACAGTGCCCTGGAAACAATGTAGACAGGTAAGAGACAACACACAACACATGAAGGTTTTATCAGGAGAGTCTGGTAAAGGTGCATGATTCCACCTTCAATGGCCATAGACAAGTGAGAACTGCAGAGTCGTTACCACATGAACCCTAACCCTGACATCTTGGCTGTCCTTACTGCAGCTTAAAGCTCCCCAAGGAGAGGGAAGAGGCAGCAGAAGCCTGATGCACAGCCAGGGCTCAGATGATTTGACCTAAGGACTCTCCAGCTCTTACAAAGGAGAGGCACCGGAGAGGAGAGACCAAGGGTCCACCTGTTTTTAGACACATGAGTCCTTAGCCTTCTATCTTTCTTGAGGGCAGTATTCAACATGCCCTGTGTTGCTTTCTGAAGTATGCTGCTGCATGGCATTGTTCTACATTCAAGACCCCCCCTCGAAGACTGGTGTCAAACAGGTCAATCTACTTCATCTGCCATCTGACTGAGTTACAAGACCTGAGGCTACATGCTTATGCTGGATAAGAGCACACCCAGCCAATGAGAAGAGGCTACATGATTCTGCTGGGTAAGAGCACACCCAGCCAATGAGAAGAGCCTATGAGGCTGCAAGTTCTGCTCATCCAGCATTGCTCCTATAAAGCTCACTTAAAAAAAAAAAAATTAGTCTATCCATTCCCAACACAACAAAAATCATAGCACAGAGACATCTGCATCCTGCCCCCTCCAGCGTCTCAGGTTGGCTTATAAACCTGAAAAGACTTCACAGGCATGACACTGTGGCCCAGGAGGGCCCAGTCTGCCCATGGCAGCGATGCAGATTCAGTGGGCTCCAGTTGCATGGAAGGACGACAGGAGCCTCCACCCTGCCTATCTGCTGCTCTATGCATGTGGGCTCCCCCTGACATCCTGCACTGCCTGAAAGCCCTTCCTGTAGTCTGCCAGAGGGAGGCAGGCATGGAGCCAGAGACACAGACACACAGAAGTGATGAGGCACAGGTGGAGGCAGCGTGGGAAGCGTGGATGCATACGCACGTGTGCTTGGGTGAGGATGGCATGCGGCAGTGGGCATGGAGGAGGGGGCGTCACAGAAGGGGTCCTCCGGTTTGATCCAGTAGGCTTGGCTGTTCCGGTTACCTTTCTTGCTGGAGCAGGTGTTTGAACAGGGGAAAACGTCCTCACAGGCCTCCTCATGAAGACGCTCCTTCTGCAGCAGCTTGTCCACCCGCTGGATGATGCACTCCAGGCTCTTGTCCACGTTCAGCCACACTTTCTCCTTCAAACCAAGAAGACTGTTTGGGTCAGTGTGTGCAAAAGAAAAACAAGAACAGAACACAGCCTACTTCGTTTCTCTCTCAGTCCCAGCCTGATGATGTAGAAATCACCATTCAAGTCAGATTGCTTTTCAAAGACAATTTGCAACTTTTGGTCACTGACTTGAAAGCTTGGCAGACATTTGCTGCCAACTCTATGGAAGACAGACAGCCTTCCAGTCTCACCCAACAGGCCACAGGGCACTAAGAACTCAGGTCTTTTTTCCTCCTTCCATTGCAGGCCACCTACAAACATCACACACTGAGGTCTCCTGATGGACAGGAATGGAAACAGCTGGTGGCAGGGGGTGGGCGAGTTGGAAGAAGGAGACGGAAGGCTGGAAGTGAGCTGCAGAAACCCACACAGACCACTTTGCTGCTAATTAATAATTCAGTGCTTCACAGAATTCCTCTGAGCAGTAGCCCCAACAAATGACAAGTATGTGTTCCTTCCTAAAGAGACAAGGCTGCAGCTCTCTGGCCAACTCTGGAACAATGAAGTGACATGTCAGGTAGCAATGAGTCCTTGCATTGAACATAAAGAGCCCTAAAGAGTAAAGGATGAGCAGAGGGGCTGAGGAAGAGGAGAGTCCTGGCTCCTGGTACATGTCTGAAGATAGTCTACCTCTCAGCATCAAGTGGCCTACAGCCATCAGGGAAGCAGACCTGGAGCTTGATAATAAAGGAATAGTCTTTTAGGCACTTTGTGAGGGAAGACACAGCAGTAGTTCAAGTTCAACAGCAGGACAAGAAGCGGGAGCATCAGACTCACCCACTCCTCCTCATGCCAGTCCACCTGCAGGGAAGATCGGCTGCTCCTCCCTGCCCATCTGGCCATCAGGGTGTCCTGGTCATTCCGAAGCATCACCTGTTCCTCCTCAGTCGAGGTAGGGGAGGCCTTGGAAGCGATGTAGTCAGGCCGTGCTGCATTCAGGCCATGGATGGAGTTGGCCAGCAGCTTACAGTCACAGACAGTGACTAACTGCCGGGTCTGCAGGCACACACAAAGCAGGCTGCTACGCATTCTTGGAGAAGGAGACAGCCTAAGCCAAGGTTTCTGCCACCCACCCTGCTCCACAGAGCCTACAGAGTGGCATTCTCTAGGTTATCTAAATTCAAAGACAGCATGTGACCTGGCAGGGATAATCTCAGCAAGAATTTCCCAGTAAGACTAGAGGACACAGGGGTCTGCTTGAGATCTGTTTATCCCAGAAGTGGTCAAGGAAGAAGAGAAGGGACTGAGGATCCCATCTGACGTTTCCTGGCTCTGTTTGCCTTTGATCCTAGTTCACTAGAGAAAAGGGCTTGTACTCCAGCTTTGACAACATGGTGGAATGTGTCCCAGACTCCCAGGGGCTAATCCCCAGAAGTTACATATTACTTCTGTTTAACTACTAGAGCATTTTTTTTTTTTTTAATGCTCCAGGCTCTGAACTACTGAACTGCTGGCATCACACTTCCTGGTTTCACTGCTGACAACTATAACTTCCTTTCCCAGTGGTCCTGGTCTGTCTTTACACTGTGCAAACTCATGTGAAGACTACAACACATTCTGAGCAGGAACAACAGCTCCTACCCAGAAAATCAGGTGTGGATGGAGAGGTGTCATCAGAATCTGCGTGCAAAGGTAGAAGACTGAGTAACGGGAAAGAGCATCATCCATGAGAGGCAGATAGAGCCTCTCTCTAGTATGCGGATTTCTAATCAGGACTAAGTTATGGCTACACAGAACTTTTAAAATCCATTGTGTATCAGCCAATGAGATTATATTGTTCATTTCTTAAGTGTAAATAATTGCTACATAGGTGGTGACTGGGAAGTCACTAAGGAAGCTGATGTCTACGAGTCCCAAGAAAATGAGCGCAGATTTACTTGCTAGAAGACACATCAACACACTGGCCTCAAGCCACACCTGAGAGTCACAGCCTGGGCTCTGATCATGGGCAGATTCCCAAACTTCCCTGTGACTTGGTGGGAAGTGGACTTAAAAGAGAAACTTTTAAGGTCATCACAATGCCACTCTCCTAAGGTCAGCTCTAGGCATGTATGAGTGATCCTGGGTGGTCCAGTAGCTTCCAGAAACCCAAGGGACCTCTTTATCCCACATGCAACTGGGCAGCCCCTCCTACCTTGTCTGCCAAGATGGCGAGTGTCCTCTCAAGGCCAGTGGCAGACCTGTCCTTGGCTGCCCTGGAGAGCCGTTCTGCGTAGTAGCTAACTTGGGTTTTCAGGGTGTTGATCTGGGCAATAATCTCCTTGGCTCGGATGATGTCCTGTGGTATGTAGATTATGGACTGGCAGCTAGATGATGTACTAAAAGGAACAACAGGTCCTAAGGGGCTCTCCAAAAGCATCCGCCCCACCCACAACTAACCCTAAAATAAAGAGGTGTCTTCCTGTCGAAGCTCAGTCACTGATGGGTAAAGGTCAATCTTGGAAGATCCTTTTTATCTAAGGAGAAGTATAAAATATATACAGAAGACTAAGACTTTTATGTGTACTTGTACTTGTATGTGTCTGTATATTTACTACAAGCATGTACATGTCTATAAATACATTGGAATAGCACTGTAATAATTACCCAATGCTGGGGTCTTACCTAGGAATTTTATCTATTAACTTAAAAGCAGTCTTTCAGTAGAGATCTGGGGTCTGCTTACACCAGAAAGGATCAAATTACCACACTGCAATAGATGTTGGACTACACATTAAAACAAAACAAGAACAAAGAACCAAAAGGCATACCCTAACATTTGCTTCTTCATTTGGCCATCAGGGCCTTGAGACTTCCTGTGAGCAAGCCCACATCTTTTTCTTACATATTAACCACAGCAAGTTCCCAACCCTGGGATTCCTTGCTCTCTCCTGTCTCAGGCTGTCCTTATGTTGACACTAGCATTCCACAGCATTGCCATCCAGAGGTAGGCCCAACACCTTAATGCCTCTGAAACCCCAGTCCTTCCTCCTGCTTGCCCCCTCACCACCAAGCAGCATATGTATATGGGAACACAGTGTCAAAGTGCCAGGCCAGCTGCTGCCCAGTGTAATCAAGAGCCTCTGAGGGGGCAACTCCATATGCTCTAGCTTCATGGGTGGGGTCAGCATGTGTGGTCATCCAAAATGGCAACAATAAGCTTATGTCTCTTAGCTCAGGTCTCAATCAGTCAAACATTATTAATTTGTTTTTGAGCTCATCTGAGGATGCCTGAGAATCTGAGGGGGAGACATGAAAGTCACCAATGAAGAGGTCTCCTAAGATTTGAGGATACTGAGCTCTCTCTGGACAGAATATTGTCCCTTTCCTTTTTGAAATAAAGGGCTGGCCTTGAGTTCCAGGGATGAGGGGCAACATGGAGAACAGAGTATGACCCTCACCATACCCTACCCTACTTGTGGAGGTGAGAGTCACCTAAAACCTTTCCAGGGAGGCCCAGAAGCAAGTTAGGAAGAAACCACCACTGCCCTTACTCTTCTGGACTATGGGGCAAACATGCAAACACCACAAACCAAACTGCCCCAGAAAGAACAACCACCACCACCACCACAAGCCCACACACCACAACAACAACGATGGGTTTGCCAGAAGCACATGCAGCAGATGGCAACGGTGCGTTTGTGCAGCACCAGAGTCATTCCACAGCACTGCGTGCAGGAGCTGCTTTCCAATCTGCAATCTCTCTCCCAAACGAATAGCTGCCAAGTGGGCCAATCGGGTCTTAGAAACACATTTCAACAAAGAATGAAAAAATAGAACCTCTTCTTTCTGGCCCTCAACCTTTAGAGTCACATGTTCTATGTGCAGTGTGTGCAGGTCTACTGCTGCGTGTGACCACAGTTGTGCACACTCTGACAGGTGCACGCTGTTAGCCCACTCACCCTGTGCTCTAAGAAGGCATGTTACAGCAACAGCCCAAGGACTGACACATGGAAGCAGGTGGTGAAGGCACAAATGGGCAAGTTCAAGCAACTGCTCTCGGGGACGTCAGGAGTATGTAAATGCATGTACTTACTTAGCTCCCAAATCAGGAACCACACCATGGCAATGGGGTGGGGTGCAGAGACTCTACTGCCTTGTAGTAAACAGTCCTGGGTGGGTGAATCTCCATTCTACTCATTATCTGGGCTCCCAGCTTTTCCTGCAATAGCCCCAGGGGGCAATGGCCTATATGTGGTCCTTGGGCTTCATGTTAAACCCCTACCCTGGCCTGCTGACCCATACCTCCTCTCAGTGGAGGCCATGGGATACACAGGAATGCCATTTAAGCGTAAGTGGAGTACCCAACATGCAAAATAACTCTGGAAATGAAGGGGAAGGCTATGGAATTGCCCCACCCCCTGCTGCCAGATTTGGGTGTCCCCTTATTCCCAGGTGTGGGAAGGTCCCCACCTGTCTTAGAAATGCTTGGTATCCTGGGAGAAGAGAGCAAAAGGGTGGGAGTGATCATGATCAAGTCCTTCCTGAGATACAGAAGGTCTAGAGTCTTCAGTTAAGAAGGAACCTGAAGAACCCTCCAGAATAAAACACCTGAGTTAGAACTCACCAAGGGGCAGTGGAACCCCTGGCTCTCCATGTTATACTTTCACTGCTAATCCCTAAGGCCCTTAAGGATTTGACTCATCCTGCTATGGAAAAGAGTGAGCCTCCCTTCTGAAAAGTCCCAGGAGGGAAAGGGATAGAAATTCTGAGGGGACACTTCTATAACACAGCTGTGGAGAAAGGGGGGCCCTCCCAGATGCCTTCTTCCCTCCCTCAGGACTTCAGGGAAGGGCCTCTCAAGGGAAAACTGGTGATACCTCATCTTAGGTATGCCTGTGTATTCTCAGGACTTCAGGTCACTGTGTGTTCCCAGCAGAGCGCTGGCATCTCAACTAAGATCTAGCCAGAGCCCCAAAGCCTCCTGGGTCATTAGATCAAGGTGGCAGCATTTCTCACAGGGCTGTGGGGCCTAGTCCTGGTGAGCTGCTGGTTTGCCAGTCTGGGACTAAGGAATACAGCCTAGATAGACATGGTGACTTCTGGCTCCCGTCTAATTCTCTGGAGGAAAAGGTCTCTCAGCTGTTGTTCTGCTATCCAGTGGGTAAAACTGCCCTTAACAATACCATCATTAAAATCAGCACAAATTAGCAAGTATTATGACCATGTAAACTGGCTCCACCAGACAAGGGAAAGGCAAAAACCCAAAGACTCATAATTCTTGTAAAAGAAGACTGAACTGGGTCTGATGTCACAGATCTGTAATCCTAGCTACTGAAGGCCGAGGCAGGAAGATTACAAGTTTGAGAAAAAAAAAAAAAAAAAAAAAAAACTGGCTACAGGGCAAGTGCAAGGCCTGCTTGGGTGAACTTAGTGAGCCCTGTCTCAAAAAAAAAAAAAATTAAAATGTTTGGAGTGGAGCACAGTGATTAAGCTTTGCCTACCATGTGTTGAAAACAAACAAAAAAAGGTTCTCAATGGCTTTGGATCAATGAACTGTCTCACTGGGTAAAGGTGTGTGCTGCCAAATGTACCCCAGCACCCAATGCCCTAAATGGGCTCTTCTGTATCCTGGGAGGAGGCAAACTGGGCTCTGTCTCTGCTGAGTGCAGAAAGAAACTGCTGTCAGGTTTCAATGGAAGGCTGCAGGCTACATGTAAGCTGGCTGGCTATTCATTATCGAAGAACATTGCAGATGGAAGGAAGAGCTCCACCTATAGGACATGTAACTTGGAGCCACGCAGCAAATGGGATGGAGCCACCCCAGATGAAGGACAGCATAGGCTTTCTCTGCACAAGAGCAAGAATCAACATACACTCTCTCCACAGACAGAAAACTCACCAACACTCCTCAAAACTGCTAAAGAAAAAAAACCAAAAAACGAAGCATTAGCAATTGTTAGCAAAATACTAAAGGCAAAACAAAATTTAGAGGTTGACTGATTTTCTTTTTCTCAAATTACTTAGAGGTAATTGTTGAGGCCATGATTATGGGGATAAACCAACTTATGAGTAAAATTCTTATTCCATGGAGCAAGTTTGTGGTCTATACTCAAGCCTCAGGGACATCCCACTGGGACACAGGACATCTGCATTTCAAGGAAAGCTCAAAGAGCACAAACTGTCAGAAAGTGGATTTATGGCAATTGTACAAAGTTAACATAAAATTTGTATTATATATTTCAAAGACTACAAGAGGCAATGGGAAAATAAGTTCTGAAGCTAAAATGTATAGTCATCTAGTATCAAAACTGCAACCTTCCAGGGACAAGGGACAGCCAGGTGTCCCTTCCTGACTGGTCACCTAGAATGAATGGACTTTCTCTCCCAGGGAACCATACCCCCTCATCTCATACACTCACTCTTTCCACACAGCATCAGGCAATGGAGGGACACACACAGAACTGTGGTGGCCCATGGAATCTCTGTACTTCTTCCTACTCCCTAGGACACTGTGTACATGAATGGTGAGGCAAGTCTGGCTGTCTGAAGGCCTCACTGGAATGTTGAAATGGCTTTGCTAAGCCCAGTCTTTTCATGCTTCTCCTCCCCATATCCAGGGTTGGTCGATACACACTGGAAGGGCAACCTCTCTGAGAATGTCCTCTCTTGCTCCATGCTCAGCCATCAGCATCGCCCACATCAGTGGCACTCTGTCTTCCTGACTCAAATGGCCCCTGATGGCCCACTGTTCTAACCTGTCCTGACCCAGGCGTGCAACACCCATACTCTGGCCACAGCAGCAGAATTGGGCAACGGACAATCAACTCCCATTTGTGCTAGCACCCTCCTCCACCTGCCTCTACCTGCCACCACGTGGGTGTCTGGGGGCTCACAAACATCAGACACAGCTGTACATGGACCACAAAAACCCTCCTTTACTTACTGTTTCTTGGTCTCTTCATATCTCTCAAACCATCCTACTCTCAAGCCCATATCTGCAGGGGCACTCCAGCAACACTGGGTCCTACTCCCTCCCACTTAAGGCCTCTCTGCTAACCCACCTGCTACTTTGTCCCTTCTGGGGTAACCGACTGGTCCTGACTCTCTGTTCACCTCTCTACCTCACCTTACACACATGCATGTTCCACAGTGGCCAAAACACACTCAGACCATAATTAGTCTCCTGAAACTGAGACCTTCATGGTACTTCTCCATCTCACAACCTACCCAAGGACTTCATGGTACTTCTCCATCTCACATCCTACCCAAGGACTTCCTGGTACTTCTCCATCTCACAACCTACCCGAGGACTTCATGGTACTTCCTTCATCTCACAACCTACCCAAGGACTTCATGGTACTTTCTCCATCTCACATTCTACCCAAGGACTTCACAAGAGCATCACTCATTTCTTGTATTACACTCACACCCCTTTGGTCCACTTAAATTTTGTCAGGTGACATTTCGGAAGATATCTAAGGAATGTTTCATCTGAGAGGCCTTGCCATACATCCTGCCTATCTGGCAATGTCCTGCTCAGGACAGAACTGGACAACCCTCTAGATCCTTTCAACAGTGGGAATGCATGCCACCATTACCCTTTAGGAAAGGACAGAGTGCCAAGGGCTTTAGGAACTATAGAAATGATCCCTGAAAGTACAGTCTTGTCAGAGGCTTCTAAGTCTGGTGCTCCACCAACTGACAAGAAAGTCTAAAGGAAGCTCAGATAGCAGAAACTGCACACAGGTGGCTACCTAAAGCCACACCCGGGGTGGCTCTCTGTATGCAGCTCACTTGGAAAGAACTGGACTATTGATTTGGTGCCCTCACAACTCACTCACTCAGCCACACGCATATACACAGTAGCACGGGGTCCCTAAGGCAGCTCGTCCAGCCACGCAGAAGCAGATCAGATGGCTGCATGTTTTTGCGATTTTGTTTTGATTATTTTAACTCACAAACATCAGACACAGCTGTACATGGACCACAAAAACCCTCCTTTACTTACTGTTTCTTGGTCTCTTCAAACTTGTGCAGCTTTTTTCGAAGACCTCCTGACTTAAAACCTTGGCAGTGTGCTGCTGGGGCTCCGATAGTGACAACGTCATAGTTCTGATCTGAGTGACAGAAAGCTTTCTTCCATTACTCTGGGATCAGGCCTACAGACAGGCCAGCTATAGCAATATGCACAGCACTGTAGGACCCTACAGACCACATGCAAACAGCCTATGGCTCTCTGATCATACATCCTGAGGCTGCAAAAGGACTTGCTGGACCCAACACTAACTATTGTACTTCAGTACAAAAGTTGTTGTCTGAAGGTAAGCCACCTGGGTTGCTAAATGCTCACTTCTACCCCTCTTGGGAAAGGCTCAATGATGGGCAACTTTCTGCCATAAAAACAAGAGGAGCTGGGCAGTGGTGCTGTATGCCTTTAATCCCAGCACTTGGGAGGAAGAGGCAGGAGGATCTCTATGAGTTCAAGACCAGCCTGGTCTACAAGAGCTAGTTCCAGGACAGCCTCTAAAACCACAGAGAAACCCTGCCTCCTGCCTCGAAACCCCCCCAAAAAAAAAAAAAACAAAAAAAAAAAAACACCAAGAGGAAGCTGAAGATATATAAGGAGGATGTTTGGACCCTGTAACTGAAATTCTTCAAAGGCCTGTGGGGGGGGAGAGAGGGAGAGGGAGAGGGAGAGGGAGAGGGAGAGGGAGAGGGAG